GCACTCAGCTGAAACCCCACAAATCAGCCTGCAAAGACAGGTAGGGCCCATGGCCAGGTAACCCCCGCCACGCACACACAGACCAATCACAGACACACTCAGAGGGAAGAGGGAAGTAAGTAAGCCCAGGGGGTTACACCTGGAACCCTCACACACGGAACCCTCACACACAGGGTAAGCTGTGCCCATGTACACGCACCCAGCACTCTCGCCGAGGCACGCACAGCCCCCACCCATATTCCACACACTCCACACACACTCACACACACCCAAACAGCCCACACTAAGCTCGTGAGTCCTCACGCATGCCACATTTGCTCACACATTCCTTGAAGGTGTCAGGGACATGGCCAGTCTCAGCTCTGTACCCAGCCACCCCACAGCTGTACTTTCCATCCTGAACCCCAAGTGTCCAAAGTGTTCCTGGGGCTCAAATTTCTCCCAATTGTGCTTCTGCAGGCTGAAAACAAGAGAGAGGGCTGGGGTTGTGGCTCAGTGGTAGAGCATTTGCCTAGCATGTGTGAGGCACTGGGTTCGATTCTCAGCACCACATACCAATAAATAAATAAAATTTAAAAATTCATCAACAACTAATAAAAATATTTAACAAAAAAAAGAAAAAAGAAAGAAAGAAAACAAGAGAGAGAAGAAAGAAGAAAAAGAAAAACTCAAACACTGAAGTGCTCCTGAAACCAAGACCCATGTTCTTCACATCCGGCTAAAATGATAGATTGCCTAAAAGTTACATTCTGGAAACCAAGTGTTAACCTGAACTGTGAGCAACAAAACCAAACTTGCCAACAGTTCTTGAAACTAGCTGCTCCCCAAGAACCATGCTAAATGCTTCGCCTCCATCGCCTCCCACCCTCCCAACTGCCCAGCAGGTAGGAACGGTTACACTGAGCAGCAGACTGTGGCAGTGGAACTAGGGATGTCTCAGTGCAGCCTGCAGCCTCTGGCCCAGTCCCAACTTCCAGGATAGACCCCTCCACCCACAAAGCAGCCCAGCCCCATGCAGTCTGTGCACACCCAGCTCGCCTGCCTGAGAGGCTGAGGGCCACCACCTCTGGGAAAGTGCAAAGAGGCGCTGAGCAGCAGAGAGTTGTCAGGCTAGCTCTACCTCCTGTTGCTCTCCTTTTCCCAGTTGGGTTTGGACCCTGGGCAGAGACCACCCTGAGAAGCAGGTCTGTGAGGGTCCTCAAAGGGAGTCGTTCGGGGTCGCCACTCCAACCAGAGACAGCGTCCTTCTGGGTGGAGAAGGCTGAGGGCCTGCGGGGGCTCTGCTCGCAACCCCTGCTGTCCTTCACACCCACCCTGGGAAGCCAGGCCCCTCGCTGTGAAAGAGTTGGTTACAAGAGGAGCAAGCCACCTCTCTCAGCCACCCAAGGGCTCTGGGTCACCAGAGCCCAGCCAGGGGGGCTGCAAAAAGGCCCCATGAAAGCCTCCAGGGAGGCCTCCAGACAAAGGGGGACACCCTCTAGGGCCACCACCTCTGCTCTGCAGCCTGACCAGCTGCTTGGGGCCCTCCAAGCCCCACCCACCCACCCCTGGAGTCCCAGGGGACGCGGAGGCAGTTTTGATGAAGTGTTCTTGTTCCTGCAGCTCTTTCCCGGGAGGGCATTTACAGCCACGAGAAGCCACACATCTGGCCAAGGGGCTGGGAGTTGCTACTCCATCCTCGGCCCCGCTGGGAGATCCTGCCCTGGGAGAGGGAAATCACCTAGCATGCGTGGGCATAACAGAGAGACAGTTTAGGGCCTTTGACTAGAACAGAAAAGGGGCCGCTCCATCCCCATTTCACAGACGAGGCACCCTGTGCTCCCAAGCGACTCTCCACACTGAGCCTGCTTCCTGGGGCTCCGGACAGCCCTGGATCCTCCTCTACCTCCCCTTCCCCGGGCTCTGGTGGGCCCAGAGAAGGTGTGGGAGGCTCCTGGGACAGTAAAAGCCACATGAAGGGGAAGCTGGTGTCAGCTCAGAGGCAGCTGTCCTGTCTCCTTCTGTGGGATAAACAATTCTGCATGACTCACGTCCCTTCTTGGCTACTCTGTGGCTGATCCACAGGTTCATTTAAATCAAGGTTTCTCAGTCTGAGCACTATCGACACCTCAGGCTGAATGACCCTCTGTTGTAGGGTGCTGTTCTGTGCATCACAGGGTGGTTACAATGTCCCTTATACGAGGTGCCAGTAGCACCTACCCCAATAGTTTGTGACAACCAAAACGATCTCCAAACTTTGTCAATGTGGGCGCAAAACCATGCTCAGCCGAGAACAGCTGATTTTAAAAGACAAAATCAGTGGCCTGCGCCCTGGGTCTTGACAGATAGGCAGGAAAGAAGGTGACATAGGCTTCCTTCCAGAGGCTTGGAGCTTCTATGGGGACAGATAGGATTAAAAATAATAATAATAAAAGTACCCATGACAGGGGCTGGTGTTGTGGCTCAGTGGTAGAGCAATCACCTAGCATGCGTGGAGCACTGGGTTCAATTCTCAGCACCACATATAAATAAATAAAAATGAAGTGCTACCAATAGCTTAAAAATATATTTTTTAAAAAGTACCCAGGACAAATCAGTGTGCGCCAGGAGTTCCTGCAAAGCCTGGAGCAAGAAATAAATCAAAGGCGGGGCCCATGTGGGCCTCCTGGAGGAGGACTTTGAGGGCCATATAGAGCCTGGGGAAGAAGCCGTTTGAGGGAACAGGGTCAAGGACAGTAAGCAGAGCCCAGGGTGGGGCAGGAGGGGCTGCAGCTGGCTGGATTTTGATCTGCTGTGTTTTGCCTCCCTCCCAGAGCAGGACCTGGCCCGGGAGCAGGGGAGACACGGAGGGTGAAGGAGCTGTGGAGAGTTGACGGGGAGGGCAGTGGTGGCCTGTCTCTGATCCCGGGGGCCAGGTAGGGGCCTGCTCCTCTCTAAATCCCCCAGTGCCCATCCTGGAATCAGGCCAAGGCAATGCCACTGCAGTCATGGAGCTGCTGCCCCCGTGGATTAGGGTCTGCCGGGGCGGCAGGCAGAGGGCTGGGAGGCTGGGCACTGGGTACTGGAGGTGTGACGGAGGCCAGGGAGCACCTGCCAGCCCTGCCCCTGATTTCCCAGGGCCGGCCCTTGCCTGAGGGTCCCACAGTCCCCGTGGACTTGGGTGGGGTAGTGGGAGGCCCCTGATGGGGGCGTGGGGTCCTGGGCTCACAGCAGAGCCCCCGCCTTCCTGCCAGGCTGCAGACCTTGCTCTACAGGAGAGATTTCAAGGGGTCCACAAAAGTGCTGAGCTCCTCGGAAGAGGGATCCCCTTATGAGACCAAACTCTGGGCCCCCACCCCAAACCTGTGGTTCCTGACGCCTGGGTGCACTCTCCACTCAGCTGAGCTCTGGGAAGTTGAGGCATCTCCTTCCTGGGCTCATAGTGGGGAACTGTGCTCTGAGGCTTGTGCTGCCCACAGGGAGCTTCTGAGCTGGCCTGCCAGCAGGGGGCGCTGTGGACTCAGGCACAGGGCGCCCCAGCTGGAAGCGGAGAGGCTGGCCACGTGGTGAGGCCCCCCTGGGTTCCTGGGGTTTCATCCTCCACTCCAGCCAGACTTGCCTGCCTTGTGCACAAGTGGGTCTCCACCTCCTTGCACATTCCCAGCCCCACCCCATTCTTTTCCCCTTGCTCTGGCCAAGGAAAAAGGAGAAACCATGATTGTGCCCATTTTGCAGATGAGGAGACTGAGCTCATGCAGATACACCCAGAAGAGTGGAAGGAGCAGCAACGTGGGAGTGGGTGAAGTCCTGGATTTGAAGCCAGAAGACCCAGGTTTACTAGAGCGCGGGGTCAACCTCTCACTCTCTGGGGGTGGGGACAACCTTCAAGGCCTTGCTGAGCAAACCACCCCAGGAGCAGGAGAGCCACAGCTCGCACTGTCCCCTGGGCTGAGGAGGACCCAGACTGTAGCCAGGGTGGACAGCACCAGGTCCTGGAGGAAGTGCTGGCCAAGGGGAAGAGGCGGCTCTGCCCACACCCTCGTCTGGGTGGAGAGCGGTGGTGGACACAGACGGCCAGAAAGGGGAAGGAAGCGGCGTGTGCGCTGGGCCCGAGGGCTGAGCCGGAGAGCCCGGGGGAGAGGCCGCTCTAGCTGCACTGTCTCCCATCGTTGGTGCCAGCGGGGGTCCTGGGATGCGGCCTGCCAGGCCAGGTGCCCTGCACCTGCAGGCTCATGTGCCCGTCCTGAGAGTGGGTCTGTCATCATTTCATTTGGATGAGGAAAGGAAGTCGCAGAGGGAGAAAGTGACCTTGAGGACCTTATCTGAATCCTCCATAGGAAACAAACCAGAAAAGCTGGAGCATCCTGTCTGCCTGGAACTCTCCCTCCTCCCTCTGGGCTGGCCGGGGTCTGGGTGGAGAGAGGAGGAAGCCCTGCCTCACTCAGGAGGCTCCACAGGGAGGTATCTGCTGAGGGTAGAGTGGACAGGGTGGAGGCCCAGGCAGGAGGTCGGCCCTCACTCTCCGTTCAGGGAGGCCTCCTGGTAAAGCGGACCCTCCAGGGAGGGGAGGGCTTTCCCAGCCTCCTGGGGGAGTGATTGGGGCCCAGCTGCTTCCAGCATGTTCATGGTCTGCCTGTGTCCAGCTCTGAGCGGGACGCTGGTGAGACAGGCAGAGAGCCACCCAAAGGAGACCTCACCATGGCAGCAGCCTAGAGCCCCTCTGCCCTGCGCAGCCTGCATCCTGTGACTGTGTGAGGCTGACCCAGGGCCCGCAGGCTTCCACTAACCAGGCTTAAGACAGGAGGACCTAAACTGTTACAGACAGGGGGGGCGGGGGGAGAGGAGATGAAGCCTTTTCACACCTGTAATCCCAGGGCCTCAGGAGGCTGAGACAGGAGGATCGCAAATTGAAAGCCAGCCTCAAATTCAAAGCCAGCGAGGTGCTAAGCAGCTCACTGAGACCCTGTCTCTAAATAAAATTCAAAATAGGGCTGGGGATGTGGTTCAGTGGCCAAGTGGCCCTGAGTTCAATCCCTGGTACCAAAAAAAAAATGTGTTAGAATCTACCAAAGAGATGATTGATCAGATATTGTGGGTAGAAGACAGTGGTCAAGGAGACTCGGTCTCTGGCTAGGGCATTGGGGATTTTGCCCATGAACTCTGATCTAGAATCCAAGTGGAGGAGTGGGCTGCTGAGAGGGAGATAAGTTCCGTCTGGGATAAGCGAGTCTGAGGTGTGTGGGGGCTGTGCAGGTCGTGGTGAGTTTGAGGCTTAGGGTCAAATGAGCACTATAGCAAAAGTCAGGCCATGTATCCTAACCAGCTCAGGAAAGCAATCCGGGTTGACTAGAAGTGGAGCTTAGTCTGCAGCCAAGCAGAGAGGGACAACAGCAAGGACACCCATTAGACCTGCCTAATTTATGTTCTGGAACTTGGAAAAGGATCCAGGGGTCTGAGAAGATCACAGGCCAAATTCAGCAGTGGCACTAGGAGCATCAGCCAGGGGCACTTGGCCACTAACCAGAAGTCAACTCAGGATGTAAAGGGAGCCCAACAGATTTGAGAGCAGGTGTACTTAACGGACCTCAAGTCGCCAAGGCTGGGCCTCTTCTCTAAAACTCTCCCTAAGTCCATCTTTCCTTGCCCAGGGGACCCTGGCTGGGCCCTTTCACATTCAGGATCCCAATGGTCCCTCGGTAGTTCCCATCGGACAGGAGAGGAAACCCAAGTCTGGGAGGCGGGGAGGCTGTGGGGCTGAAGCCGGGCTGGCTCCCGCAGGCCTGTCCCTGGGCCCAGCATGGCCCTGGGAGGCAGGGACCAGTGTGACCTCAGGGGCCGGTGCGTTCGCTTTTGTGGTCTCCCTTTTTCTTTTTCCTTCTGAGGAACAATTCCTTTTGGTCAAATCACCTGAGTAAAAGTGTCTGCTCTTCAGAAACCTCCCCCTTCCCCCTGCAGGCATGGACATTCTGGGAGCTGCCTCCAGGGGTCACAGAGGGTCAGGCAGCTCTGTGGGGTGGCTCTCCTCCCCCAGCCCCACCCACTTCCCCTCGGCCTCCCCCTCCTGCCAAGCTCCAGCAGCCTCCAGCACCCACTGAGGTCCAGCCTCCCCTTGAGGCCTCTCTGCCTCCCTTTTGCCATTCAGCTCAAATGATGGGGAGCAGGAGGTGAGAGAGAAGAAGAGGCCGGGGCAGCCTCTGAAATGGAACAGCACATACCGTGTGGTCCCCTCTGTCACCTTCCATGTGTCAGTAACCACAGAGAGAAGGGTGAGGAGGGGAGAGAGGCCCCCCTGCTCCCAGGAGGCAGAGAACAGGAGAGTGGATGGACGGATGGACGGGGAGGTGGGGGGGGGCACAGCAGGGTGGCAGTCTGGGCCTGAGAGAAACTGGGACCCCAAAGACCCACCCCAGAGGCTCGGGAGAGGGGTCTGGACGTGGGGACCGCCCCTGGAGGGCGAGTGGCCAGGCCAGGTGGAGGCCCCAGCCGCACGTGGAGACGGGGCCTGGGCAGGGCAGGAAGGCGACTCTGGACTCCACTCCGGGAGGTAAACTGAGGCCCTTGGGGCTACCCTGGAAGCTTCTGGCAAGGTCCCTGCACGGTGCCCCCTTCCAGGACGTGCCAGGCTGCAGGCTACCGTGCAGAGAAGGAGAGGAGGAGGAGGTGATGTCACCCAGGAATGAAGCAAGCAGGCTGCAGATAACATCGCCCAGAGGCTGCTGCAGGCGAGGTGACTCACCAGGCCGCCGGGACCACAGGGCGATTGTTGTTGGGCCCAGCGGCGGGCCTGGGAGGCGGGGGGCCGGGCCACCGCAGCCGCAGCTGGGGCAGGTCCTCACTGGGACCTGGGCACACAGTGTCCTCCACCTCCGGGGCGCGCTCAGGAAGCGCCCCCTCCCGCTTTGTGCTATCTGTGTCCGCAGCCTTTGGTGTGTGCTGGTGGGTGTGCCCGGTGAGGTCCCCGCCGCGTCCTGCCGCAGCTCCAGGTAGAGAGATTGCTAACAGCGCAGCAGTCGCTCCCCTGCGGTCGGACAACTGTCTGTGGAGGCAACACCGGATGGCAAACTGCTAACCGCAGCCACATGGCGTCCTCCTGGAAGATACAGCCTGTTCCCCTGCGACAGGCACCTGCAGACCTGCTCCCCCAACCCTGCTGAGGGGCCAACGCTGTGGCATTCTTCCCCATCCCCAGGGGTGCCATGGATAGTTGTCCAAGATGAGAACTGCGCAACTGGAGAGGGCACGGTTTATTTTGTCAGGCCGAGGGGCTGTGCAGGGTGGCCCTGCCACTTCCCTTTTCTAAATTACTTCTCATTCCCCTTCTCCGCCTAGAATTATCTGTTTGACTTGCCCTTGATAAATTTGTCCTCACAAAAAAACTCCCCCCCTCCACTGAGGCTTCTTCTTTGACCACCTCCCTCCCCCTATTCATTTATTTTCTTCATTCATGGAACAAAAAGTACTGAGTCTGTCCAAGTTACCGCGGGGGCTGGGGACGTCACTTAATGTAGAGAGATTGCCCTACACACGTAAGGCCCTGGGTTCCATCCCCTGCACGACAAAAATAAAAATAAAATAGTAAAATAAAATAACAGATCACTGTTTTAGGCCAGGCACCAGACAGGCAGGGCCTCCCCGAGCTCTGCAGTTCCCCTCCTTGTTGAAGGAAGAAACGGTAAAGAAATAACTTGATGCCACCAAGGAAAACAGAGCCAAGCCAGCCGTGGGTGACGGGGCTCAGCTTCACCAAGGACGCTCTGGACAGGCTTCTCCTGAGGAGGTGGCCTCTGAGTGGAGGCCCGGAGGCAGGGAAGGAAGGAGCCTTCCCAGCAGAGCCCCTCCCATTGGGCACCCAATGCCAAAGAAAGTTCTAGAACCCAGCTGGGCTCTGCCAGGAACCTGAGGCATGGCCTGGGGCCCTGGCTTCCCAGCCGGGGTGTCCAGTTTCCTCCTTGATAAACTGGAGGCCTCACTGCCTGGCCCTGGGAGGGCACTTGCGGCAAGTTCTCTCACCAGTGGGCAAGAGGAGCTTCACAACAGGGGCCTGAGTGGAAAACCCAGCTCAGTCACCCACCCACGGGCTGTGTGAGCCCAGGCAGGTTCCTTAGCCTCTCTGAGCCAGTTTTTTGCCCTATAAAATGCCAGGTTGTTGTGGAGGATTAAATGAAGGTGTGGCCATGAAATCACCTCGTATAATGGGTGTCGAACAGATATTCTCTTGGGGTGCACCCCAGGGGAAGAGGGGTGAGGGGGTGGGGAGGCAGGAGAGGGCCACGCTGACCTGCTCTGCTGGTTGCCCGGATGGACCTGCAGCAGAGCAGCCAGGGGCCACCCCGAGGCAGCCCCACGGGTGGGGGAGGTCAGGCACCCCCGCTGACGTCATCGGTGGGGAGCTGCGGTGTGGGCCCTGGAACCGTCGTCGCACCACAGCCCAGCTTTCAGGTCCCCCGGGTGTGCCCAGCCCCCCTCTTCCTCTGTCCTTCCTCAGGCTGTTTCTGGTGAGCAGGGTCCACCCTCAGGTCTAGGCCTCCTGCTCCCTCTCAGCTCCCGGGGCCCAGGGCAAGGAGGTGGGAGGTTCTGGGGTCCACTCTTGTCAGCAAGTCTTCCCTGAGGCCTGAAGTCGGTCTGGGCTCTAGGAGCCTGGCTGGGAGCCCCCCATCACAGGCAGGTGTGGGCCAGGTATGGGAGCCTGCACAGCCATGGTGACAGTCACCGGGAACCTGCCTGGCACCCCAGCCACCACCTCCCGGGAGTGTGGCCCTGCCCTGGGGACTTCCACGCCCTATTCTACTTGAGGGAAATGAGGCTCCAGGCAGTGGGGCAGGTGGGGGCTCCTCGAGGCAGCAGAAGAGGGTCCTGGGGGTGGGCCACCAGAGGTGGGGTGGGGCCCGGCCCCAGGCCCCAGGCCCCAGGCCCCAGGCGCCTGTGCCTCTGGATCCCCAAGGTGGCCTTGGACTCTGGATGCTCCCGGTGACCTGGAAGCAGCTGGCTTCGTCCCGGAGACCAGAGCTGACTACGAGGCCCTGCAAGGCCACCGTGGGGCCCTCCTGGCTCCCAGGCAGCAAACAACGAGGGGGGCAGCGGATATTTACTGACCATTTCCCACGCATCGGTGCTGCGCTAAGCACTCTGCGCCCATGAACTGGGTTCACCCTCCCTGACAGCTTTGCGAGAGAGGAAACTGGGGCACCGAGAGGCTCTGTGACTACCTGAGGTCACGCAGCACGGGCTCCCAAAGCACCCCCCTCCAGGCAGGGGTGCCAGCGGGGACCGTGGGGACCTCAGCAGGCAGGTGTGAGCACTGGCTCAGACGCCGCGGGGCTGTTCCTGGGCGGCCCTGGGGAGCTGGGCAGGGGTCTGGGCCAGGAAGCACCCCCCAAAATAAACCACATCCCCATATGTACCCATGTACCCGACCAGGCCACGGGGACCAGCATGCTGGGCCCACTAGGACTGAACGGGGAACCGGCCACAGGAAAGTGGTTTTGTCACAAGAACGCTTCCTCCAAAGGCCAGAAGTCACAAACAAAGCCTAGCGCCTCGGGGCACAGAGCACAAAGGTGCAAGTTCAGAGCCAAGGAAGGGCGGCCACAGCCACTTCCCCTGCCTCCCTCTCCCAGCAGGGCCTCCTGCCCAGCGGTGCTCAGCTCCTGGGCCTGAGGTCCACAGGCAGCCAGCCTGGGGCCGCCTGCCTGTCCATCTGTCTGGGCGCACACGTGTGTGCTGGTGTGTGCAAGAAGGGCAGGGTGCAGGGCCCTCCGCCTGTGCGTGTTTGCAGGGGGGACTGTCCCCACCTCCACCTGCTGCGGCAGCCACAGAGGACAGGACGCTCTGACTCTAATCTGCACCCCCAGGGCCTCAAAACCACAGCCCCACGTCAGCGGCACGTGCAGAGGGGCCGGGTGGGAGGTGGAGCCACATACCCAGGGTGCACGAGTGTGTGCTACCAGGACTGCACAGGACAGGCACAGAGGCCCAGTCCCCAAGCCCTCTCGGGCCCTCCCCTCCCAGGAGCAGCTGGGGACTTGGAGGGGAGGAGGACCCTCTATTTCTCCCACAGTGTGATCTCCGCTCAGCTCCAGCCCCCAGGACAACTGAAACACTGCCTGGCACAGTTCCAGGCACCAGAAATGCCAGGGGACACAGCAGAGGCCCTGTCCTGGTGGGGGCCCTGTTTTTGCTGAGGAGACACCGTAGACAGGATAAATGTCCATACATAGGAGTGGCCTGGGTGCTGGGGAGAGAAAGGGAGGAGCAGGCCTGGGAGATGAGGGGGCTGGACCCACAGCACCGTGTTAACCCGGGTGGCCCAGGTAGGAGAAAATAACATTTCAACAAACACCTGGAGAGGCAGGAGGCGAGCAGGGTCTGGGAAGAACATTCCAGAAAGAGGCGACAGCCCTGAGACAGCACTGTGCCCGGCCAGGACTGAGGAAGGGCAGGCTGGCTAAGGGCAGGGAGGGTCCTGAATGGGCCCCGCATCCCCAGGGCCCCCTGAGGGCCTGACCAAGCTCTTGGCGAACCAACTGTCCACTCTGCCAGGCTACTCAAGCTCGAAGCAAAGCCCTGATGCCCCAAAAGTTAAAGAGAAGGACCCTGTGGTGCAGACAGGAGCGGGCAAGGGGTTCGCAGGGGAAGCAGGGTCGCGAGGAAAAGTGGACAGAGAGGACAAAAGGTTGGAGGAGCCCAGGACCACTCTGGGGACTGAGCATAGAGCAGTTCCCTAGAAGCTTAGGGTCAGGAGCAAGGCTGCCCTGAGGTCCACAGGCCTCCGAGGGGGACAAGTTTCTGGGTCCCAGGGACCTACAAACCCAGGGAGCTCCCTGGGATAGTGCAGCCTAGAGATGCCCATCCTGGGGCCCGGAGGCTCAGCCAGCTGCCCCAGCAGGACGAGAGCCTGGCTGCTCCTCGCCGACGGAGACCCCCCCCCCAGACCCTCCTGAGGTCAGTGCTCCCCCATCAGAGCACTTGTAAATCACCACATGCGCAACCGACCTGCCCTGCAGCTCAGGGGCAGCTGGCACCCCAGGAGACAGGGCCACCCTCCACCCACCTCCCTCCAGAGAGGAGCCCCCACAGACAGGGCTGTGGGAAGTCGGGAAGTGAGTACTCCCGGCCTGGAAGAGTCAGGGAGCTTCTTGGAGCTTTGGCCTTGGCCTGGTCCTTCGAGGACGCGAACAAGGAGAGAGGGGTGAGGAGAGAGGACACCTCCACCACTAGGCTCACCCCCACCCCCACCCAGTCCCTTGAGCCCCCCCCCCACACACGTGGGTCTAGTCAGCAGAGCTCACAGACACCCAGACACCCCCTCCAAGGGGCCCCAAAGAAGCCACACCTGCTCTATAAGGGTCACCCTTGTGCACAGTGCGTAAGCACAGAGGTGCACCCAGGCACTGCAGAGGGCCCTGAGGGCTCAAGAAAAGACCAAGACGTGTGTGCAAAGCCCCGGAAGAGCCCAGGTGGGGAGATGGGTAGGACCCACAAGGAGGCCCAGACAGGGCAGGAGAGGCAGACACACCCACGCCCTGTCCCTGCCAGCCTCAGGCAGACCTGCAACCTCCCACGTGGGCACGATGGGACTGCCACCAAGCCCCTGGCCTCTCCAGGGGTTGAGTCTGCTCCTAACTCTGCTTCACATAGATTTCCTGGGAGGTGCCAGGTAAATCCTGCCCGTCTGAACTCCCCAAGCCCATTCAGACTCTGGTCGTTTTCCTCCCTCCATGAAAGCCACCCACCAGGCCACCACCCCACTAGCCTCCGGCCTCCTCTCTTACACCTGCATCAGTCTCTGATCCTGTCCTCCAAGCAGGCCACCAGTCTCATCTCAGTCAAAGACAAAGTCCTTGCAGTGGTGGCCAGGGTCACTCACCCACCCCAGCTCCCGTGCCTCCCCGCTCCCTCCCTGCCCCACCATGGGGACCCTCACTGGCCCCACCACCCCTGAAACCTGCTCCCCTCTCAGAGCCTGCGCCAGGGCCATTTCCTCTGCTTGGAGCTCCTCCTTCAGGACTTAACTCCAGCAACATCCTCCCAGCCAGGCCATCTGGCTACACCAGCCAACCCTGAGGTCCCCACCCTGGCACCCTGGCCCCAGCCCTGTGTTCTCTCCTTCTTAGAATCTTTCACACCCTACAACATCCTACACATTTTAATTTTGTGCCTCACTTATTGTCAAATGGGCTCCCTGGGGGCAGGGACTTTCCTCTGTTTCATTTTTCTGCTCTCATCCCTAGTTTCCACAACAATGCCTGGATCACAGGACTTAATAAGTAGAAAAAAAGAATGAGTGAGTGAGTGAGTGAGTGAGTGAATGGATGAATGAGTGAATGAATTAAATGAGATAGCAACCAGATAAGCATTTATAAAACAAGATTGGCAGATGGAAGGGGAGGGACTAACCCTGAGGAAGCAGTCACCATATTCCAGGACTTGCAAACTTGGCATTCTGTTTTCCTCAAATAACCCTAAAAGGTAAAGAGAATTGTTCCCATTCTACAGATGAGAAGCCTGGAGATCAAAAAGTGTATGACCTGTGGTTGTTGCATTGCTCATCAACCATTCCTCCCTCTCTGTGTGTAAATGCTGTACCTCCCTTCAAGAGATGGAGCCAGCCAGGCATGGTGCCCATCTGTCATCCCAGCAGCTCTGAAGGCTGAGGTGGGAGGCTCCCAAGACCAAGGCCAGCCTTAGCAACTCAGTGAGGCCCTAAGCAACTTAGGCTCTGTCTCAAAATAAAGATATATAGGCCTGGGAATGTGGCTCAGTAGTAAAGCACCCCTGGATTCAATTCCCAGTACCAAAAAAAAAGTGGAGCCAACCCTCCCCCAACCCCATTCCCGCACGGCCTGACTCTGGGCTGCGCTTATGACTTGCTTTGACCAACATAACGTGGCCAAGCTGATGCTCCATCAGGTCTTCAGGGACCTGGCCACTGAGCCAGCTACCCAGGTTACAGGATCCAAAGCAAAACCAAAATGTGGGGCCTCTTATTCAAAAAAGCAAAATAAAATTTTGTTAGCGGTATTGAAGCATAAAGTGTTCTCCTTTCTTTGGTAGTCTTTCTCTCAACTCATTACAGTGCTTATAATGAGTTCCCTGAATTTGTTTTTTGATATTATCCTAAGAAAAACATTTTCATGTGAAATTTCCGGCTGTATTTTGTTTAATATTTAAATGTCCCTCTTTATGTTG